AACGAGAGGACTTTTAATGGGCTTCTTAACGGCCCTACCCGCTGGGCTAACGGACTATCCAAGCCCTGCCATCTGTACGGATCGGGCAGCCTGTTGGGCTTTGGCCTTTTTGGTGAGGCCTAGTAGTGGAGTTGTTCATGCACAAATGAAGAGCTATGGTTGATGTTAATTGTGTTAGTTGTGCACATTGTTCAAAAATCATAAGGGGTCATCTATTGATTTTCAAACCATAAGGGGAGTCATGTACAAAAGGGCCAAACCACATAGGAGTATATTGGATTTTTCCCTTATTTTTTTAATTGAAATTAACGTATTTTTTTTTCTTATTTATTAGGAAAAATAATAAATTTATAACCTAATATAATTGAACTAAATTATAATATCATCGCGTTAGGTGGTGTTAAAATTTGCTCAACAATACGAATAGGGAGTACTAAAATTATAAGTATTTTATACTTATATAAAATAAGTCTATACATAATATAGATTGTTTTTGGCAATCAAAAAAAAAATATAAGGAGATAAAAGAGTTTTAGTCAAACGACCCCTAACATTATTGGGTGGGGTTATTCTCACCCGACAAATCTCTATTCTCATCCCATTAAACTATAAATAATAAAACTACTAAATTCATCTTTTTTATACCCACTTCACAAGTAATTAAACCTACCACATTCTATATCCACCCCATTAATAACAAAACTTATCTCAATCTTCAAAACTTTCTATCACCATCCAATCTCTATCTTTTCCGATCTCAACATCGAAATAATACTTTGATTCTTCTCTGCGCTTCTCTTTCTTGCCTTCTTAATCGTGGGTTGAAGGAATTCGCAGAGAAAAAAAACTTCGTCACATGCAATTTCTCAATATACAAAAAAAAAAATCTCTTAGAATCTTCGTTGTAGGCCGTATCTAAAGGTAAGTTTCATGAAAAGGAAAAAAAAATAAAAATTATCAAGTCTCTTTTCTCGAATCACATAGTCTATACATAATTGTTTGTTCAATTTTAGTAGATAATTCGATTGAGTAAATTTTGTATAGATTATGTGAGATAGGGTATAGAAAGAAAACCTAAAAAAAAATATTGAGATAAGTTTAGTTATTAATTGGATAGGTATAGAATGAGATGAAATTAGTTATTAGTTGGGTGGGTATAGATAGAGTGAACTTAATTGTTTTATGATTTATAGTTTAATGGGGGTAGAAATGAAGATTTGGGAGGTAGGAATAGCCTTACCCAAGATTATTAGTTGGTACACACATGCATTGCATGTGATCCATTTTGAATATAATTATAAGTACTTTATACATACATGAAATACGTCTATACATAGTGGGATCGTTTGGTTGTCATATTATAAATGAATGGATTAGATATAGTAATCCAGACTAATACTATACAGATGGACAAAAAACAAAATTAATAAGATATTAGAATAATACGTAATTTTATGTAGTGTTTGACAATGCACAATATAAATGTCGGCTAATAGTTATTTAATTCAAGCGGTTGTTTGATTAGAGAATTATTTCATCATATTAGTGTTGAATTAAGAAAAATATACTCTATCAGTGTTTGTAACATTGATGACAACTTGATTTTATCAGTTAGAGGGTTATAATAGTAAATATGTAGAATAATACGTTTAAGTTGAATTAAAATATTACCTCTCTTTGTGGTATTAAAATATTTTCATAATACATGTATAACGTATAAAAATATATGATTAGTATATGTTTTTAAAATTAATACGTAACAAATTTACTTGCCAAAAAAAAATATTAAATTTGATTAAATAAAAAATAATACAGTCTAATGTTTAATTTCCTCGTAATACCTCTGATATGAATTATTTTTGACACCCAAATATATAGTAGTGAAAATTAGCCAAAAGTCCAACCAGACCGACAGTCTTTTAAGTCATTAAATCCAAGCCGAGAATTTTTAAGGCATTAAGGTTATGTTTAGATGTTCTTTTTTTGTTATGTAGTCCAATCAAATCTAATCTTTTCTTTTTAATGACCACCGTACTCTTTTATTCACTCACGTCGATTTCGTTTAAAGCCATTTCCTGTTCGAGAAGTAGAAACACGACTTGTATTTTTTTCTTCTTCTCTCTCTCAGTCTTCTTCACACAGAGCATATCTGGAACTCACAGAACTAGAAGTCGTAGATCTGAACATCAGCCCACAGATCTTAAAGACTAATCTCACAGATCTACAAAATTCAAAAAAAAAAAAAAAAATTAGTTCATTGCTCTGCATATATGAGAAACCCACAGATCTGAATTCAGTGTTTCTTGCGTATATTTCCTCCTAATTATCAAAGGAAACGACAAGAATCATAGCCCGCATTGGTTCTCGCATATATTTCCTCGTAATTATCTTCCAAATTCCTATTTTCAGGTAATTTAATTGCATTTACTATCCCATAATTTCCTGTGTTTATTGGCTGAAACTATGAATTTAAAGCCAAAAACCACGTGGTCTTTGAATTTAAAAACAATAGGACCATCATCATCATGTGGTCTCTGAATTTGGTTATTTGTCCTTCCACCTGCGTTACTCTGATTAATAAACCTTCTCACACTCTCTTTATTGAGCTCAAAAGGGGCCAAAAACCAGTTTTAAAAAACCTTGATTCTTGTGGAAAATCAAGGTTTAATAAGTCAATGAAATAATATTGCTTTTCTCAACATACCCACTTTGTGAAAGCATTATAGTGTGGTACCAACTTGATCAACATGGCAAGAATTTGGTCAATATAAAGTGAAATAGGTTTTTTTTTCACTCTCTTAAGATGGTGAATTTAAATAGGACTATTTTTTTGTTGTTTTGATTGAATTTAGAGTGTATGTTGTGGTTAACTATTTTTAAGTTCACTGTTTTTCATTATTTTTGAATTTAATAATTTTTCTTTGTTTTTAAAATCAGTAATTGTTCACTATTTTTGAATTCATTGTTTTTTTTTTTACTATTTTTTTTTTATTATTTTTGAGTTTTCACTATTTTTGGTATATACAATTTTTATGTCATTAATTATGTTTTAGTAAATAAGCAGGAATTTTTACTTTATGAGACATTAAAATAATATAAAATTTACTGTTTTTAAATTTTGTATATTGCAACACCAAGTAAATGAGATAAAATTAAGTCTCAATTTCGATGACCAAAAGAGTGAAATAAGTTAAATTTTTATTATATGAGACATTAAAATTAAATGAAATTTACTGTTTTAAAATTTTGCATATTTCAACACGAAGGCAATGGTATGAATTATTGCCAACAGTATTATTGGGTCAGGGCCTCCAAAAAGACCTGCGAAATATTCATCTTCTAGTTTTCCACTTTCTACATTTTATTCTATATTTGGCCCACTTCAAACAAAACGAAAAAAAAAAAAAAAGGGTCTGTTAATAGCATAACTCTTTCTTTTTCCGGTCTCCATTCAAAAGAAAGGCCTTCGCATTCTTAATTCGGTAGGGCCGGATGGCTTTGTTTGCTCCAGCTTGGCGAATTGCATCCCCACGCAACGATATTGTTTGTGCGCTCTTTACCGTTCTCGCTATTGGGAAAGCAGTCGTAGAAACGTGAAACTTTAAAAAAGACAAGTATTGGAACCATTCCTTTTGAGTTGGTTTATGGATATGATATTGTGTTGCCGATGGAAGTTACTGTTAGGTATAATAGGTTGACAAGACGTCAGAACTTGTCTGCCGATGAGTATAATCAGGCTATGTTTATTGAGTTAGAAGACTTGGAGGAAGCTAGGTTGAGAACTTTAGACCATATCCAAGTCCAAAAAAAGAAGGCAGAAAAAGTATACAACAAAAAGGTGAAGTGTAAAAGCTTTCCTGAAGAAGATACGGTTTGGAAAATCATTCTACCTCTTAGAAGTAAAGACAGAGATTATGAGAAATGGTCCCCGAATTGGGTTGGGAAGTCCATTTTAGAATTGATAAAGTCCTAAAAGGTGGTGCCTACCAATTAAAATCCTTGGAAGGAGAACTTCACAGGAAACATATAAATGGGAGATAATTGAAAAAGTATTATCCCACTATGTGGAAATCCTGCAATACAACCTAACAGGATACTATACAAAGGCCACTAGAGATGGTTACACAGGCCTAGTGGCTTCATTCAAAAGATATAAAGGAAAAGACAATAGCCAAAAGTATATAAACTATCATTGATGAGTAAGGGGATATTTACAAGAAATAAAGGCCTTATTAAATGGCCAATAAAAAGAAAAGAGAATCACAAAAACTTGGGAAAGTAAAGCCTAAAATCGGCTCATTAACTAGAAAGAGTCTTAACTTATATTGGGCATGCTTCAAGCTTTCAACAGCAGCCACCAGTTGACCTCCACTTTCCCTATTTTGAGCCAACAAATCCTTAGTGCTAGAGAGCTCTTTCTTCTCCAATTGCCAAAATTCTAGCCTCAATTCCACTTTCTTCCTTGGCCAGCTCAATATCTTCTTGCTTCAATTTTGAATCTTTGCCTTTGTTTGATAGAATGAGAGGAGCAATATTCTCAGCGGCAGTTATGAATCCTATTTTAGTTGACACTTCATTCTGGAGAAGATGAGCCTGGGAGATCCCATCTTGAATTTGTTGACTCATTTCATGCAATTATTATTGTGGCTAGTTAGTAAAGTAACTAGCAGAGACAACAGATTTTTTGGCAATACAAGCAAGGAGTTTGCACATCTACTTTTAACAAGCTCTTTGAAAGAATAGTTAAGCATGTCAAAAAAGCGAAGGAATTCTGGCCTCAGGAATCATTGATAGGTGACCTGGAGATACTAGAAGAGGAAGCGAAATTGATTGTGCTTCTATAAATTCATCTGCCATTTTGTAGGCAGCTTCAATCTCATAATCAGTGGTGATGGTATGGGTAGTAGAATCAGACATCGACTGAAATAAAGAATATATAAATATTGGTCAACATAAGTAAATAAAAGGAAAGCCTTAGTGGATAAAACAAAAACGATTACTTGATTCACAAAAGATGTTGAAAGAAAGAATTTCCTCAAGTGATCAGGATGGTCATCAAAATTGGAGTGGCTAACATCAGTAGGCGCAGGCAAAGGAACCTCGAGAGCAATTTCACAAGGTGCAGGAGTAATTTGGATAGGGGATTCAAGAACATGAATTTGAGGTGAATATCCCATTCTCTGATCATAAGGAGGGGGGATCCTCAAGAATGGCAACCTCACCAGCCACCACCACAATGTCCAAAGATGAACTACTTGCGAGTATATCATCTTTCCTAGCTAGGAGATATCTAGGAGGGGGAATGTTCAAAGCTACCTTCTCCCGAGGAAGGAGTAGGCTGCTTAGTACTTTTCTAGAATTAAAAAAAGCAACATTTAAGAAGATTGGGATTAGAGAACACGAAGTTCGAGTGAAAGAAAAACACAAGCACCCTTGCTCCTATTTTGTAGTGTTTCCCATATGAGGGAAGCAAGCTTCTAAGTGGAACATCTTCATTCTGAGGAGAAAGAGATGTTTTGATTTCATTCCTTGTGGACTCCATGGTTGCCTCGGTACGCTTTTTGGAAGAGGTTGTGCCCTGCTCCTTAACAGGAGGTGTGACCGCCTGTTTCTTCATTGTCCTCTTCAAAAGAGGAGTTTCTTCAACCATAGGTTCGACTTCTTCTCTTGGCCTTTTCTTTGGGATTGTAGAATCATCCTTGATTTTAGCCACTTTCTCCTTTTCGTCTACATTATGAGTGGTAGAAGACTAGTACATGGATTGGGGAGAATAGGTGCTTTTGATAGTTTTTCCTTTTTGGAGGCAGAAATTGCTACAAGCTTGCCTTTGTCAATAATAGGGCTTGATGGAAGACTAGCAATGGGTAGCCTTACTTGAATTGGCTTGTAGAAGTTCAATGAGAAAGAAGAAAGAACTAAAAAGTGAGCACTAGAAGAACAAAGAGGTTCAAAATAAAGCCAGAAACAAAGGAAGAATAAGGTTACCTGGAGAAGAAGTCACATTGTTTGATTGTCAATTGACAAAGCACAACCTGGAAGCATAATCTTCCGATTGATTGACAATAACCAGGGTTGAGATATTTTGCCACCTCTAGACAAAGAAAGGGGAAGTGAATGGCTTCCTGCGGAAATATTCAAAACAAAAAGTTTCCAAGGATTTCTCATAGGCTCAAGAAATTTGGTAGACTAAGGAATAATCCTTAATGTTGAACTTTTGTCCTGCAAGCTCGTCAAAGAAAGGGTGCATATAGAGCACTGGAATACACTGGGTAAGGAAAATTGCCCAGCTATTTGGCTGGGGGTGTAGTTTTCAAAACTACAACTTGAATATTTTGAGGCAGAAACTGGGCCACTCACATGGATATAGCGGGGTAGGAGAATGCTACCCTCGATTTTTTCATCAAACAAAATGCTGATGTCATTAAAGAATGGCTTAAAATGGGATAAGGAATAAAGACATATAGAAAAAGAGCAATATTTCATGGACTTAAAAAGTAGACTTAAAAACTAGACTTAATAATTTCAACCATTGATTTCACTGTGGGTCTCAGTACTTAAAAATGTGCATAGTTAAGAGGCTTGAATTTGGGATCAAAAAAATATACAGTGAACCAAATTTTGAGGAAATAAGTATAAAGTCAAGCCCAAAAGAGTCAGAAAGGGCCTCCACAACTCACATCGAATCTTTTCTCAGTCATAACAAAGAGGTCTGTATACAGGGTTCCTAAGACAAAAAGAGCCAAAGCAAGTCTTTTGGTTGGCTAAGTATACGGTTACATTTAGGTACTGGTGATTTTAAGACCAGGGACACATAAGACAAAACGGCAAAGCCAATAGAGAAGGAAAGCAACATGTTCTTCAAATTGAGGAGTGGACTCTAACTTGAAGAAACAAGAAATATGCTCAGAATAACTTAAGTTAGAAGGAAAAGCAAACAGCGCACCAATGAGCCATTGATTCATATGCAAGGGTAGGTTGAGATCATTGCTGATTAAGCTGATTAAGATCAATCCAGAACCTCAAAGGGTTGTTACCTCGATCCCAAGATTTCCACTGAAGGTGGGATGGATGCAACATTAGTATTTCTCCTTTAGAAACAGGGTAAAAGTCAAACAATCCTTCATAGATAAACTACTAAAAAGTAGGACCTAGTGCAAAGTTTGAACTCAAATTTGAAGAGGGGATCAAAACCTTACGATCTAATGATTCTTTGACTGCATGCCTAACACCAACAGGAAAACGAGGAGTAAAAGGTATGTCCGAAGTAGAAGAAGAAGAGGTCGGTTGGTTCATCCTTTGTTTGGGTACCATGCAAGAGTTCAAAATTAGTGAAGGAGATGTAGAAGAAGACAGAAACAATGGGAAAAAGTGTGAAATAAAGTGAATGGTGGGACCCATCAAAACATTATATTTATTTGGGTTATTAATTAACCCAAATAAATGGAGTGGGCACTATTTAGACCATATTCTAATTTTTAGTGAACAAATGATGAATGATATTTGTCTAGCCAAAAGACAGTATCACGTGGCATTTATTTAATAAAAAGAGAAAATGTAGCCAATCGACTTGGCCTTTTCAACTCCAAGGGCAGTTACAGCCCCTATAATTGAGGAAATGAGACGGCTATTTTGGAATGCAGAAAGACAACAGTTACGGAGGGTGAATGAGCCCCAAAAATCTAAGAAGCATTAGTTAAAACAAGAGAGAAGAATGGGGAGAATTGCCTGAAAAGTGCAATGCAACCGTCAATGAAGATGTGCCTATAAAAAAGGTATGAATTTGTGCGTGCTGGATCTTGCACAATATAAACACGAGAACAGATCTCTCCATTAATGAACTCGAGTGAATCAGTCGAGTGGTCAACCCTGCTGCTCGGAACAGCCTGTGAGGTCCGGTGGTAACCTATAATGGTAATGGGAGACCCTCGTGGATCAATGGAACGATCCAGTAAGGCTGATGAAGGTTCCTGGAACAAAGAAAGACAAGTTAGAAGGGTGCCGGAGTGTTTTCCGGCATATCCCTTTCGACGATCAAGTCAGTTTTTGAGATAGATGAAGAAGAAAACACTGACTATAATTTGTAGCAAAGGTTTTTCGTTGCATCCCGTCTTGCCTTTTGCGAGGAGTATTTATACCTTAAAACTCATGATTGCTGTCAGTAGGTGATCATTAGGTATAGGCAACATGTGCACGGTTTCCTATGATGAATGTCTTCTCTTTTAACTGCTCGGGACCCCGAGCAACCAAGGCTATGTCATCGGCCTGCCGACTGTTCAATGAGCTTCTCTCGGAGAGGATGTAATAAATGTCCAGCCTTAGAGACATTTATTACCTTTCACTTCCGAGCCTTACCGCATTAAACGCTATCTCATCAAGGGAATGGTGTAATTAAATGCTTACTTTCCCAAGTCGTGTGTCAGCAAGGGCATCCGGTCTTTCTGTCTCTGATGTGACACAATATGTCACGCGTCCATTCCCCATTGGTTGTGTCCCCTGCCTTCCTGTGCCTTCTGACACCATTTGTGTAAGACAAGGTCATGATGGCTAACCTAGCCTAGTCTATGCTAGTGACCTGTACATCAATAGCTCTGCGGGAGCAGAGAATACCATCCTGAACGGTACTCCTCGAAACCGAGAAGGAGGTACATCTCGAAGCCGAAAGTGGAGGTACACATAGGGACCGATGTACCATATCCCCCCCGACCGAGGGATACGTGTCGGTAGTAAACGTATTGGATGTCATTGATCCCTACGACCAGTACCTCGGGGGAGAGGGACTTGTGAACCGATGGGTACGTGTCGTGATCACAGTAACAAGAATTTAGTGACACCGAAGACACGTGTCTTCATCTTAGAGTATTTTGGAAATGTCCCATCAGAATTGCAAGGAAGAAACACGATGAAACTCATCAAAGACTCACGAATTAGACATTTCTAAGAGTAGTTTTAGATTAGTTTTAGAAGTAAAATTAATTCCAAAGACCGTTTCATCATTTTTTTGTAACCCAGAAACCTTTCAAGACTAAAAAAATTATATTTTCTTTTATTAATCTCTTAAATTATCATTTTGTCTTCTTTGAATCTATCGATTGTGAGAATGTCCTAAAACAAGGCAACTGAGCGCAACATCCAATAGTCGCATATGATCACTCTGTGAGAGGATTAAGGCTGCCAATCACAAGAGATATATTTTGTGGAAACCAACAGTTTTTTTTTTATTATGCAGTCAACACTTCATATAAGTACAACTAGGGCGTAGAAACACGGATACGATACGATACGGGTACGGGGATACGACAAAACTAAAAAAATCAGGATACGGGTACAGCTAGGATACGTCCATAAAATATATATTTTTTAAAATTTTATTATTATATTTAATGTAATAATTATGATTTATAAAGTAAATCACACTTCTATCAAAAATATATAATAATAACTAACCATTAGAGACAGTCGATCGTCAGTGTGAGTGAGTGAGAGAGAGAGAGAGACGATCGTCGTCGAGTATCGACTAAAGGGAGTGGAGGGCTTGACGGGCTGTGGAAGAAAAATGTACAGGTTTTAGTCTTTTAGACTTTTAGTTTAATAATATATTTTTTTTTTTGCAAATAAGGGCCTAAATATATTGCTCTTGTACCCCTATACTTTTTAAAATTCGAGTAATACCCTGCCACATCTTAGGCGTATTCCACGCGTATCCAAAACGTATTCGGCCGTATCCAAAAGCCAATTTTTTTTTTAATTTTAGGATACTTCTCAGACGTATCCGACACGTTTCCGTATCCAAAAGTATCCGATACGGATACTTTGACCTTTTGAAGTATCCGTGCTTCATAGACTAGGGCTATCAAAATCCGATACGACACGATTAATCGACACAAATTAAATGAGTTTAGGTGAGATCTTAACGATAATAAATCGGTTGACCCACCAAACACATTTAATAAACGGATCGTGTTCGGATGAGAGCTATTAAACCGTTTATCACATGTTTACCCGTTTAAATAAAATTAATATAATAATAAATTAATAATTATTTTTAAAATTAGCAAAAAAAAAAAAGAAGTAAAGAAATTAATAAAAATAAAAATAAAAAAAGTAAAGTAGTAGTTCAAAGACAAAGGAGAGGAGATGGAGAGCACTTTAAAGATAAAGGCAAACTAATGTCTTTTGTTTTTATCCCACATTAAAAAATGATGGGAGATGGAGAGGGTTGAGTTGTTTATAAAAAGCACTGGTCTCTTACTTTTTTTTTTTAAACCTTCAAGTATTATTTTTATGAGATTTGACTAAAAAATCTTCGGGCATGTTTGGTTATATTTTGCAAAACAGTTTTTTGTTCTCAAAATTTTAAAAACACTCAAAATTTGTTTGTTTAACATTTTTGTTGTCAAAATTTTTGGTAAAAAAAAATAGAAAACAAGTCACACTTGTTTTCAGACTTTTCTTTGAAAACTATGGAAACACGGAGAAGTGGAGAACACCTATTTTTTAATGAAGTCTGTCCTTCGAATCTTCTTAGCATCAAGGCTTCCTCTTTTTTTTTTTTACTTCCTATCTGCCTCTCTCCACTTTGCCCATCAAACAAACGAAGACACACAAATAGAACGCATCAGAGAGGAAGCTCTCTCTATGTCCACTTCGCCTCTCAGACAGAAGGAGCAGAGAGGAAGACAATCAAAGCTTCAGATCTTCAGATCTTTGGTGGTGGTTGTGGGTGGTTTGTGGGTGGCTGTGGGTTTCGACATGCTTTGTGGGTTTTGGTGGTGGCTGTGTGATGGTTGTGGTTTCGGTGCTTTGTGGGTTTCGGTGGTGCTCGATGCTTTGTGGGTCTTGATGTGAGAGAGACAAGAGAGGTGAAGAAGACAACCCTTGGTTGACAGAGAATTGAAGAAGAAGAGTCTTGGTTGCTTGTTTCGGTGGTCGTGGAAATTGTGATTATTTTCCAAACAAATTTTATAATTTTTGTTCTTTAAAACTATTTTCAAAAATATATAACCAAACAAGTTTTGCAATCCAAAATTTTTTAAAAATATATTCTTAAAATTCTTCTCAAAAATAGTTTTTAAATACTGTTTTTTGAAATGCAAATCAAACAGACCTCTTTTTTTTTAGGTTAGTGCAATTGACACTAAAAAAAGGTAGAGTATTAAAATTTGTTGATATAATTTTTTTAAAATTAAACGGGTTAAACGAGTCGTGTCGTATTATCCGTTTATTAAACAGGTCGTGTTCGTGTTAAAATTTTTTATTCGTTTATTAAACATGTCGTGTACTAGTTTATATATTTTTTACCCGTTACCCGTTTAATTCGACACGTAACCATTTAACCCGACACATTTGACACGCTAAGAACAACATGCATGTTAGTCAACAGATTGCACCTCCACTTTGTATTTTGCATAATTAAGTCTCATGTCTCTCAAGTAAGTTTAGACAGTCAAAAGCACCCCTTATGACCTCAAATCTAGAAATGCCAAGATACAACTACTACAGAGCTGAGGTGAAAGAGACTTCACATCACCCCCAAAGAAGTTAAATTAGACATTGTTGAGTTTTATGCATAGCACCTCCATATCCAAATCTACCCACCCTTTCATTATGTTGCCAAAGACGAAAACCAGTAATGAACAGTTAAGAAAACGCAGTGTCATCCAGAATACCCAGATAAGAATGGCTTGAATCATTCAGAAATCAAAGCAAAGTGATTGCAAACACAACATTATTAACTTCCGACCTGCAGCCAATTTGATAAATTGCCAGGGCAAGTATAAAATGCTCCGGCAAAAGAATACATTTCTGATACACTATCAGAAGTATTTACAGTAATCACAGCGTGAGCACCACAATTGTCACTGCCTGTGTAAGAAACAACAGATGAAACTATTTATAGGTGATAAAAATGGATTCATGCAAAAAACAAAGCTTCCAGATAGTCATCAATATAAGCTAGGCATGGCCAGTGATCAGTTCTAATTCTAACTAGTGTTGAAAGATCACATACTTCCATTTGAAAGAGTAGATGGAACCTTGGTGGGAGGAATATCAAAATGTGAAAGAAACCAATGTTCTTGTTACTGGTGTGGCTGTGAGTCGCTTGCTCATGTTCGTCATCAGTGTACTTGAGATAAAGTGGCCCACTATCGAAGCTAGTGTCCAATGCAGTAACATCATGGGCAGAATCTGAAGTCAAATCCTTCCATATTATGTCACTGATGATTCCCCTTTCCCTCACAATATTAACAAGTGGTTCATCATTAACACTAACAACAAAAGGTGCCAAGTATCGCTCAACAGCTTGAATCAAAGAGGTTGCAGGAACTTCGAGGAGCTTGACTGATCGTGTCCCATTGATAGCCGAAATCCCTTTGCCTCCTTTCAGGGGGAAGGTCTCCCGTCCAGTGCTGCAAGTAGTACCACATGCCTCCCAAAGAGCACTGAACAAGTCTGCATAGTAGCCAGGTACTGCATCTCCTCCAACATCGTCAGGGACAATAGCTTTGAGAAACATGTCTTCAATGCCAACAGTAATACTCTGAAGCTGCCCACTGATGATCTGGCCATTTTCTGCATTTGTTTCAATGAAAACATCAACAAGACCGGGTGTTGGTTCCTGTGGCTCCAATTCAATCATTACAGGAGCTTTGAAGCTTTCCTCTTCTCCAGAACCATTTTCCACAGGAACTATATCTAAGCAATTAGTTCCACTGAAAAAATTATTATTTTCAGGAGGTTCACCAAGAAGAAAAGGTATGTGATATGATGGAATGGAACCATAAGGTGCTGAAGAAGAATATTTGAGCACAGTTGCATATATGGCAGGAAGTGCATCTACCCCATCCAAACCATTAGCAGGCAAATCGACTCCCCATATGCGATTGAAAGGCTCTGATTTAAATCTCAGAGTGCAGGATATTCTAATCTTGAGCCCTGGCATGTGTCTGAAATCAGGAATGGATGAAAAATGCATCCTCAATATTCTCACAATCTCCGAAATCTTTGAATCCATTACACGTAGTGGCTCTTGTGGCTGATCAATTCTTTCAGTTTCAGAGCTAAGTTGGATAATGGTACTACTGTCAAGCTCAGTTTGCTCGGATGTGAGTTCATTGTCCCAGATGCCTTCTAAATAACCAGGTTTGTTACCATCAATACCCAGAGAAGATAATGACAAGGACCAAGAATGTTTGACTAGCAGTGGCACCACCCGCTCAAAGTGGATGTAGGATGAAATATTCCTAGATTTTTTAAGATCACGAGAAAGCCGAGGAGACTGAACACTGAAGAACGAGCTGGAATGAGGAGAAGGTGAAATTCCAGGGAGTTGCTCCCCTATGTTTAGTATGTGCCTAAGCTTCCTTCCTGGTACACAGATCAGCATCCGCAGGTAGATCCTGTGAAATGTCATGATCAATTAGAAAATAGTGCCATGAATCATATGTCAATGGGTGACTCTTCTGATGCAATGTTGTTTTATGAGTTAATTAATCACCTTTAAATCATTTTCTAGGAAGAAGAGAGCTCACAAACTGTACACATACTAATATAAACTAAATACCAAAAGCTAAATCCAAAGAAAAGACACTCCTTTAATATAAACTGAATACTAAAGGTTGTACCTTGCATCGTCTCGAACCTCCAAGTCAGGAAAATAAAGACAAGTGAAAGTAAGGAGGCGAGATAATCCAAGGAATAATCTAGAACTATGGTGATGCATCAACATCGTTCGACAAATACCAAGAACTTTACTTCCATGAGACCAAGATTTCAACCCAGTGTCTGGACCATGTTTATCAACAAGGATAATCATGAACTTGGTAAGAAGTTCTAACAATCCAACAGGCGGAATTGTATCATTCTCAGCAATTCTTTCAAATACTAGGAAGTAAGATTCCAATCTATAGTCTATCTTGAGCTTTGGAAGCAAGTACTCATCAAATGCCTGAAGTAGGCGCTCCCCTAACCAGCAGTGCTTAGAACAGCCTAGCAAGCGGTCAATAAAAGCAACAGTCACCGGAACCAATCCCTGAAACTCTAACGTCAAATCCACCAGCATCCTCTGCACATGGAAATTGGAAATATCAATACTAATGCAGACACCACATCAAATGAAAACAAACACTCTTTCATCTCTACTTGAGCAGAAAGATGGGATTCAAAAGTATCAATCGCAAGCTATAAACGAAAAGTTCGCTGATGAGAATATATAGTGCGATTACCCTAGTATAGTAGGTGAAAGATAGTGCTCTCAGGTGATCTAGCCTACTCTGTCGACCACCTAGGAATGTGTTTGCTGATGAATACATTGTTGATATGCCAAGACCAAAGAACGCCACGAAAGACTGTAGGTAATGGACATTCAGTGGGGGGGGTTAACCATTGGCTGCCAATGTTAATGGGTCTATACTGTCATCTCTAGCCCCCTGTTGTTGGGGGCTACTCATTTCACCATTAAGGAAGAAGGAGGTTATTGCTCATGTGATGGTTAGGTCGATATTCAATGCGACAGAAAATTCTTTAGTGGGGGGATGAAACACTCATTGGGGATGCAAAGGCATACAAGATTTCAACACCAATACCTCCATTTATCACAAAACAGAAAAAAAAAAAAAAAAGAAAAAAGAAAGAAAAAAAATTTTACACCAATGCAGCCAGTGACAAGCTGGGTTTCACTTGATACCTTCCAATAAGTTGACAGAAAAAATCCTGAATGAAACTTGACCACTTATGATTGTAACAAGAATCTTATAAAACACAATATCTTAACAGGGCTTTACTTGTTAGCTGGTATAACAAGTCAGGCCACCATCTTTAAATTCAACAAAGACCAAAATTAAAAAGAAAAAATCATAAACTTATGACAATTTTCACTCATTCTGCTAAATATTTTAATGAACAATACCCAATGATGTAGAACTGCAGACACACCAAGCCGTTCATGAACAACTCAGACATGGATTGTATGCAGCTCATTCAACCATCCTTTTTTTGGTAAATAATCAAGCTTAAGCAAGGCCCAGAGGCTTGATACTTAAAACGAGCCAAGTTCCTGCTTGAGCTCTGTCTGGCTCGTGATCGTAGAACAGTGGCAACTACTATAATTTTAGTTTTTTCTATGGCAATTTATTAATGTCACATTTGTACATTATTTTAAGTCTGTATACATATGTGGCAAGGTGTTCAGAGAAATGTAGAGTACGTGGTGAAAAGAGGTGGAGTAACTAGAACGGATAATGTAGAGTTCATGGTATAATACAGTCAGTAAAACAAGAACAAGCTGAATTCCAGTTTATAATAACAGTGGACACACAAATAAAGCCACAAAGATCAAGTACGTAACATTCCAAACATTGAAACAAAGAAGAACAACGGCCTTTTGCCAAACTCAAATGCATACAACAGCGACAAAGAGATCAATAAGGCACCGTGGAGTTGAATCCTCCAAACCCAAGTTTCCTACTCATGAAACCCTAGATGGTTTAAAAGATGTAGCTCTTTGCAGGGAATTCTCCTCTTGACTTCTTCAAAAAATTATGGAAAACAAGTTTGACCCTTCGATTTATACCAAGCCCAAGGCTTTTAAAGGAAGCCACTATAATACTTTGTGGAAAACCTCCAAATCTACATTTTCCCAAATACCCTAAACCATTAATTTTTAACAAGGGCATCCAAAAACCCAAAAATCCCTCAGTCAGGTTCAGCTAGGCAAATCTAGGATTAAAAACTGGATTACAAAAGATCCTTAATTAGATTTTTGTAAGCTCACAAAAGACAAAAATTTATTACTCTGTATACATATAAACAACTTGCATCATTCTTCCCTCATTACAAAGAACTCGTCTTCATGCAAGGTGTCATTTTTTTCTATTAACACATATCAGGACGGACACTTACACATTCGGCTTCACTTATCCATGAATTCTCATAATCTGGTTTTCCAACCCATTTGATAAGGGATTGCAAGTAGGCACCGACTTGCCTTGATTTTCCATACTTGATTCACATTTTCAACCTGATCTTCCTCTTAAAATGGAAGTATATGGTTTCATGTTTCATTAAGAGCTTCTTCTTTTTCAACCTTCAAATCACAATGACAACTTGAAGATCCACCACATCAAAGATCGGAGATATTTCTGGGCCATGAAAAAGCTCAACTTAGTACGTGTTCTCCCCAAATTCGCGTGAAGTTCTACAAGGGCCAATCTTTTTGCTCTTGATCTGCTGGAAACCTTTCTTTTCAAAGGAATATCATGGCCCAATTCTCAAATTTGTACTCTTTATACCTCCACTGGCGATCAGTAAACTCTCTGTGGTGTTGGTTCACTTCCATCAACGACTCTTAAATATCTTCTTAAATATCCTTTAAATTTTCTACATAAAAAACAACGTCATCACTAGCTTGCAAATGAATTGATACGTCCACAAGGTTAACAGCCTGGTTTGATTATTTGAAAACGATTCTTTCCAATAGACTTATTCACAATAACTAAACTAATTTAGCTTGTGTTGAAATCAAATCCCATTGCCTAATGTTGTCTTGTGCAAGGCATCACAACAAAATTCCCACGCTTCGATTTACTATGTCCGTCTGGTCATCTGTTTGGGGTAAGAGGTGTTTTTTTTTTTTTAATAAAAGAAGAATTTTATTGTAGAATGGAAGAAGGGGAAAACAAATTACAATATAGAAGACAAGATACCTTCTAAAATAAAAAGAAAACACAAAAAATATATCAATGAAACATTTACAATGAAAGCTACGATAACGCCGCCTTCCAATTCCGTTGGAGATTGGACAAAGGCAAGCCTCCAAAGCTCCTAGAAGCTTTGGACAAAAGTGAAGTCATGTAAACAATTCTTTTTCCACACTAATTCTGAAGGAAGATAATAATTTTTTTCCATCCAAATACGACAAAGAGTTACCAAGATCACACAATTCTATAATACATTCGCTTCCCCTCTTATTCCCCAAACCCCAAAACTTGATTTGCAACATCTTTTTTACTATAGGAGGACAAACCCAAGCCTCACCAGCCACCTGGAACAAAATATTTCACAAACCCCATGCAAATGAACACACAATGAAAAGATGAGCATTAGACTCTCCACTTCTGAAACAAATAAGACAAATATTAGGGCTTAAAGCTTTGTAAGGTCTTCGCACCAGCAACAAATCATTAGTATTAACCCGATTTAGGACAGTAGACCAAACAAAAGCTTTTATTATCGAGAGGACCTTAGCTTTCTAAATGAAGTTAGCTAAGGAGAATGACTCTTCATACTAAGGGCTAACAAGATATGATAAAATGATCTACAAGAAAAAACACTAAATTTTCAACAATCCAAATTCTTTGATCATAAGAAAGACCGGGGTGGAAATCAGGGAGAAGATAAAGCAAAGAAGTGAAATCAACTGCTTCCCTATCATTAAGAAGTCTAAAGAAATAGAAGTCCTAGCAGTGATAATCTATCCCCACAACAATAAAAGAAGATATAGCAGCCTCAAGTAGCAAGGACAAACGATAGAGACGTGAAAAAATGTGAATAAAAGATGAATCCACATCCCATATATCTTCCTAAAATAGAATTTTAGAACCATCTCCAACTTTATACCGAGTCAAAGGAAGAAAGGAAGGGTAAACTTGTGAAAGGAATTTCCAATGACTCATATGGATTATAGTACGTGCTGATTTAATATCCCATTCCACTGAAGGCCATATTTACTCTTGATTACCTTATGCCAAAGGGAGTTAGATTCTAAAGGGAACCTCCATAACCGTTTACCTACCAAAGAAATGTTTTTAGACACTAAATTACTAGGTCCTAATGCCCTTTTGTCTATAGGCTTACAACTGTCTCCCAACACACTAAATGATCCCGCAACATCTCTCATCCCAGACCACATAAAAACCCTTATCATCTTTTCTAACTTCCTAACTATTGCTACAGAAATTCTAAACAGAGACAAATAGTATAAAGAGATGCTAGTCAAACAAGCTTTTATCAAAGTAATCCTTCTTCCACGAGTAAAATATGTCCTCTTCCAACCATCCAATTTTTTATTCATTCTTTCTACCATTGGATCCTAGAAAGATATTGTCCTCAAGTTCCCCCCAATGGTAATCCTAAATAAAGCAAAGGCCAAACATTTACAGCAGAACCTATCTCTACATCAAAATCTTTAACAACATACTTTTCCACATTAATGCATGTGACTCCACTTTTAGATATATTCACTCTGAAACCAGTAATTGTACCAAAAATTTCAATTAGAGATAAAACATTTTGAAAAGACTCCTTTTTCTCAGACAGAAAAAAGATAGTGTCATCAGCAAACTGTAAATGTGACACAAGAACATCCTCACTACCCATTCTCAACCCCTCTACCAATATTACCTCTTCTACTCTAATAATTATCTTACTCAAAAAATCCACCACCATAGTGAAAATAAAAAGAGATAAAGGATCCCCTTGCCTTAAGCTCCTCGAATTATTAAACCACTCCTTAGGCTCATCATTCACCATCACAGAGAAAGTAAAAAAGGAGAAACAACCCCTTCTCCACCTTTCTCTAAAGCCTTTCTTACCCAACAAATCATCCACAAAATTCTAATTTACCCAATCATAAGCCTTCACAAAATCCAATTTAAACACCACTCCCTTTTTCCTTCTTCTTATAACATCTTATACCACTTCATTTGTCAATAAAACTATATCTAAAATTTGTCTTCCCTGAACAAAAGCACTCTAAACCATGGCTATTGTGTCTCCCAACACCTCACTAAGTCTTCTAGACGGCACTTTAGTGATAACCTTATACAGACTAATCACTAAAATGATAGGCCTAAAATCCTTAACTTTAATTGAGCTGTCTTTTTTGGGGACCAATGTAATGAAGGTAGAATTAACACTTCTTCCTACAATCCCATTTGCAAAGAACTCATTGAATACACACAAAAGACCACCTCTAATAGTATCTCAACTATTCTGACAGAAAGTCAAAGTAAAACCATAAGGACCTAGAGCTTTTTCCTTATCCATATCAAAAACAACTTTTCTAACCTCCTCCTGCTCAAAAGATCTCCCAAGCCAACTCGGACGATATAGGACTCCAATCAATACCTTCAATAGTTGGCTTAACCGGGTAATCCTCAATATATAATCCTTTATAAAACTCTGTTATCTCCTTACCAATCAGCAGTAGATCTGTTCCAACATCCCCCGACTCAATTTCTAATTCTCTAATGACATTCCTTCTCCTCCTACCAACTGCCATTTTATGGAAAAACCTAATATTACAGTCACCTTCTTTAACCCATTTGATTTTCGTCTTCTACCTCCAACTAATCTCCTCCCTCATTAACACTTCCTCCAACTTATTTAATTTAGTTGTCAGTATTTCCAATCCAAAAATGGCTGAGAAACTTTGCATGCTACTCAAGTGTAATAGTATTTGGTACACCATGTAGTCTAACCACTACCCAAAAGAAAAGACTTGCTATGTAAGTCGCATCCAAGTCTTCATACATGCAATAAAATGAGTCATCTTCAATCAAATAATAACAAAAAATGGAATCAACTCAGCTCAACGTCTAGAGTAAAACTCAACACAAAATTCATACTAACATCAACCCATGGAGCTATAGCCTATAGGAGTTGGTAAAAGAGTAGAAAAACCTATGTTTTGTTGTTGCCCTTTGTACTGTACCACCCTGATCAACATTCGACCAGTTGACCAAAGAAAGGTAAGCCCGTCAAGAAGACAAGCTCCACGTTCAAGCTCAAGTTGTATCTCCTTCCTTCCCAAGCTGCTACACATACGTCACATTCATGGCCAAAAGTACCTTCCCCGCCATCATATTTAGCTTTTTAACCAAAATGATCTCCTACATGCAGTTTGACAATTAAAAATTCTCTTAAGGAACCTTTAGAAATGCATAAATTGAAACCCTTAAACAAACCCTACCATTTAAAATAATTATGCACATATCATGCTATCTCGAGCAATATGTTTTTCCAGTATTTCTCGAAAATATACACCTTCCTTGTATTGTTGCTTGATCAATTCTAGCCAACTACACTAGAAGACATGGTCTTGAACAAATAAATTTTCATACTTAAAACATTAACCACTGTGCCACAAACCAATTTTGAGTCACAGAGAAAATGAGTACTCTTTTTGGAAAGTCACTCATTTTGCATGTCTTCTATGAGTTGAGACACTGCAGGGCTTCATGATCTCAATACAAAACAAACTACCTTTGGATCAGATAATGGCGCCAAAACGTAAGGTCTGAAGGATAGATAAAACTCAGGTCATGATTGGAGTAATTTTGCCAACCTCCATTGAATTTTTTGCTAAAATATACAAATCGGACACCCTTCTTTGCCTAAAACAATCTCAATTTAAATCATAATAATCCACTTGAAAAACCTTATTTTGATTTGGTAGTATTAGTTTTGGAGCTTGCATCATTATTGTTATCAATTAGAAACTTTTTTCTGCCTCTAAATTCTGAGTAAAATTTCCACCTTCGAGACTCTCCGTGATCAAAGCCATAATGGTGCTAAAATTCTAGATTAGTATTCGATAAAACAAGGCCAATCCATAACCATTTCTAATTTCTCTCAATGTCTTTGGAGTAGGCCAATGCGTGGTAGCCTGAATCTTTATCAGATCTACCTCCACAGCTTTAGCTGACACAATAAACCTGAAGAAATCTAAAATATAAATTGTAAATCTACACTTTTTAGTGTTTGCACTTTGCATACCGTTGGTTTTGCCTCAAAAGTTGCAAAAGAGATTCTAGATATTTAACGTACGCCTATTTATCTTCTCAATACACCAAGATATCAACAAATTGCACAACAACAAACTTCACAATGAATGGTTTCGTCTTATCAATATCATGAATTTCCTAGGCACATTAGATAACTCTAATGGCATAACCAACCATTCATACGATCCCTCCTTGGTTTTGAATGATGTTTTCCACTCATCTCCTTCTCGGATGGTGGTTCTTATTTGGTGATAGACATTCTTCAAGTCAATTTGGGAAAAGACTAGCGCACCCAGAGCATATTGAATATATCATCCAATATTGATATTGCAAACCAATACATTATTGTTATCCAGTTAATAACCACATTGTCCATACATATTCTCCAAGTCCCATCTTTCTTTAGAGTGAATAGAGCTGGCACAACAAATGGTCTAAAAGATTCTCAAATGACCTTTTGTCTTTTTTTCTTTAAAGGAATTTTTCATTAAATAAAAGAAAAGGTTCAATGTAGTGGACAAGAAATCCACCTAATTGAGAAAGTATAACCCAAAAAAAAAAAAAAAAAAATAGAGAAAAGAAGAAATATTAAAACAAGTTACATCAACATGAAGCTATGAGATTATTCATCGAACTACATGCCGCCATCCAATCAAGATTAAGAGAGAAGAAAGACACATCCTCGAACTCTTTTGAAGTCGACACCCAAATTAGCCAAAAACTTATTCTATCCTAAAAAAAAATTCCAGATATTCTTCTTTATCTTCCAAAATTCTGTTATTACATCCCAGCCACACCACCCAAAATTGTCATAACAATAAATTCCCACAAAATAGACGCAATGTACCTCTTTCACATTGTCAGGGGCATCCGAGTAGAATATGAAATGCATCTATGGGTACCGCATCACAATATATAAATCGTTTAAAACTCCAATAGAGAAATCAACAAGCATCTTAAAGAAATAATTAGCTCATTTGTTTTGTTAAACCAAAGATTGTGATATGATTGCGGATGCCTCTCGGTTTAGAGCTTCAACCTATTAACCATATCTGGAGAACCCTCTCCTCACTACTATTAGTATCAATCATAAGGTTGCAAAGCTTTCTTCCTACTACACAACATGTTCTATAGACATTCTTATGCAGCCAATCATCCTTGTTGTTGGAACGTGTTGCAAGCATCAATTGCCAAATGACAAGTGTCTTGCAACCACATCCCCTTCAATCCTTTTACCATTCACACAACTTATATCACAAGCTTCCAGCTGCTCGTTCACATCTTTAATATCTGCAAACTACTCCTCAAACTCCAATTATCGATCATCAGCATGATTAGCATGAGCTTCAGCTCTCTTCGGACATTGAATGGATTTATGTCCAACTTAAAAACATCTATAGCACTTACTACTCATCTGTCCCTGACTATTTTTCTATGTTTGGACTGTTTTCCCAAGAGTGGTGTAAGATAGCTGGTTATGAGGAGCAGGTGTTGTGTCCATAGTCTCGAGGCAAACATTGAGTTTTCAGCTTCTCTTTATCCTGTTCCATCTCCTACCCTTTCTTTTTCCCCTTACTTCTCAATCATTTTGATAACGCTTCAACCAAATAGAAGCTGGACCTCTCAGCTTTCCCCCCAACAAGTTTCACCTACATTTCGTCAGGTACTTCCTTCCAATTGCAATAACTTTCGATACTATCTATCCAATCCAAAAATTCTTCTGGCACCATCTCACATCAAATTCACGAATATGAATTTCTACACTGTTCTCCTAGGTTTCTTTAAAGAACCTACCATGCGATTTTCCCATTGTTGAGGCCTTACATAGTGTCACACAGGATTCTCTTTATCTTATTTCAGTAGAACTCTCACTTTTCCTCCAGACAAGTGATTAGATTGATTCTCAACCACCATGATACAAATAAGTTCATGGAGCTCTAATCATGACAATCGCGGTTGTTAGTTGCTTTCATGACTAGTTAAGATTTTAAATTTGTTTCTGCAATGCTTCAAACATTTCAACAATTGCATATCTCTACCTAGAACCACGATTTCCTCTTCCACCTCTTCAATTTCTTGCAGTCATGGTTTCATTACTGCTTAAAACACAATACAACAAGCACTCTAAGCAAAAGACTTGCTTTGAAACCAATTTGATGCAAAGTGATAGAGCAAGTAATTTAGATTCCACAGTTTGATAGCCTCAGCATAACAAGAAGTAGCCGAGTACCAGCTAATAATTAGAGTGGCCACAAAAATGAAGCCACAAAGATAAAGTTCGTTCCACAAAATCTAAAGAAATTCCTGGCTTTGGCAATGTCTAGACTTGGAAACTGAGAAGAACATCAGCCTTTTGCTAGCCTTACGCGCGTACAAAAGTGAAAAATGGATCGATAGGCACTATATGGAGTCAAATCCTCAAAACCCAATCCTTGAAATCATGAAACCCATGTTGGCTTAGGAGTTATAGCTCTCTACATTGAATTCTCCTCTTGACCAACCCCAAAGCTTCTAGATAAAGCTATTACAATACTTTGGACAAAAAATCATCTGAATACATAATTCCAAAATACCATAAACACTATGTTATTACAATAATAACCAAAAGACCTAAATCCATTGCCTTAGCTAAGCAAATTAAGGATTAAAATCTGAAATGACAAAATACTCTCAAGTGGACAGACCTACTTGTTGCTTTATATACATACACACAATTTGCAATAATATGATACATAGATGATGTCACCCATATCAACCTTTGAGTTTTTGGTCTTTGAACTGAATGTTCCTCATTGTAAGTTGTCACGACAGAAAATGGCAATTGGCCCAATTTCAAAAAATTATCACATGGTTGAGCTGCTGGATATCCTTGTGATAAATAATCAGGATGAAGTTTTATAGAGGTTATTGGATTGACTTCATGCTCAACCCGAGCTTCAGCAGGCAAAGATTTAGCTTTGACTTCATGTCGAACATCTACATTGTATCTACACAAGATTCATAGAAGTTGTATCTACACATTGTATACACCCCAAACTCATATGCATTACAAACCAATTTTGTTAAACAGAAAAAACACAGAATCCTTTCCAAAGTGTAAGGTAAGACACAACCATTGTTGACATGTCATCATAACGAGATGGAAAAGCTCCCAAAGAAGTTGGTGCAAGTGTTCTCTGTGTTTGTTGCAATTGGCTAGTGTAGACACATTTTCCTTCATTTCAAACTTTTTAGGTACCTCCCTACATATCATTTTACTTAATACTCAAACAAGCTAAAGACATACAACTCATGGGCCAAGAACTGCATAAATACAACCTTCGCTAGTGAATAACTAAAACTGAGGCATATAAGGACTTCTCCTATGATCTTCTGACCTTCAGAATTAACAACCAAATGGGAGGAGAGAAAAAATAAAGTGAAAAAATCCATCATGTACCTGTAAAGCGTGGAAGATGGTGGACTCCATGAGAATTCTAGTGGAAGAAGAATCAGTATCAGAATGAGACGACGCACCTATCAAAAACTTATGGAAGGTGCGGAATGCCACTGCAGTTTCTGTGCTCCAAGGAGGCAACCATTTGAAAGCCGATACAGAGACAAGACCATCCTCAAATAGCTTCACCGCCGATCCTCCTGTACCCACCTCCGAACCCAATACAGCATTTGAATTCCCCAGCCTAGAATCATAGCGTAACATGGAGCAATACGCAAGCAAGTCAAGCTTCAAGGCTTTCAAAGCAAGCGGATCAAAAAGAGAGGGATAAAAGCTCAAACTCATTTCAACCATTGCATTCTTTTTCCCCATTTGTCGTTTCGATAACAATATAACAAATCCCAACAGCCAATGAAGAGCAAGCAATCTGAAGACCAAATAATGCTGGGCTTCTCTTGAGATCAACACAAGCCGATGTGCAATCTCACTCTCTTGCCCCTCAAACGTATCCAAAAACCGCAAATACATTCCCAGAAAAGCATGACATAACAATGGATCGTATGTGTAAAGCAGTCCCGAAAACTGTACCTTCAACAAAGAGGCCTGCAACTCCAGTGCCACCGCCACCGGGATAATCATAGACATAAACACCGTCAGCCCACATGGAGTCAAATACTGCGGCCACTCAAGCAAGAAGGCCATTGCCCTCCTCAATTCCTTATAACTCGATTCTGAAATCTCTTTCTCCAAAAATCCATCAGCACCATCACCAGCACCATTCTCATCAATCAAAAATCTCGGAATGTTGAAGGGAATCATAGGAATCCAGGTATTAAGAATCGAAACATCGGGTTTTCGCATCATAATTCCTTGAATCACACTCGCAAATAACAGAACATAACTCTGCGCGCAATGGGTCCTCTCACTCTGACACAATCCCCACAAATGCCCAGCAATCTCTGATAACAAACAAGGGCAAGCTATCTCCAATTCCCTCAAGCACTCACAGGCCATTCCTCGGGTCTGCCGATCGATGCCATGGTTCGGGCGGTTTATAATGCTCAACAAAAGCTCGATCAAACTCTCGAGTTGGCGTAAATACTCGGAATTCAGCGACCCATCAAGATCAATTGTGCATGTTACGAATATAGAGGTGGTGGAGACCATTAACTGTTCTTTGAGAGAATAAGTGGCGACCATGTTATCTACTGGTGGAGCTTGGATTAGCGAACGGAGGGTTTCGAGGAGAAGGGTGAGAGAATGTTGGGTTGGGGTTTCGAAAAAGGAGAAGGAATGTTCTTCGAGGAAGACGAGGAGGTGGAGCTTGAGATTGAGAGGGAGGTCTCTGCGGAGGAGAGAGGAGAGAGAGAGTTCGAGGAGAGGAAGGCCGGTGTAGTTTGATGAGATCCAGCGCTCGAGCCGTGGCGGCCCGTATTGGTAGTCGTCGATGAGGGTCTCCCATTCTTGGGGTGACAGGGGTTTCAGTGACGGCGGTGACGGTGCTGCTGCTGGGGGTGCTGTCTTCTCCATTTGATTGTCTTGGAGTTTCAAAGGTTCTAGTTTTATACTGTAAAATTCACAAGGAAACTAAAAAAAATAAAAATTAATGTATAACTTTATTGGTAGAAGAAGCAAATTATGGGTTTTATATTAAACAATCCAAAAGTTAGAACGAAAATAACCATCAAACGGTTTTTTAAATGCTAGAATCATGGAGACGGATACGGATACAGATACGTGATATATGTATAATATAATAAAAAAATAAGATATGAATATCGTTAAAATACGTCTATATTAAAATATAATTTATACTTTATTATTATTTAACGACTTAAAAATTATAATTTTTAATAATTTTTTAACATTAGTAAGCAAAATTTGAAAATTTTACGTTAAAAAAGATGTAATATCATCTTATTATGATATATTCATAAAATGAGTATGATCAATTGAAGGAATCATAATCACATTTAACTAATTAGTGTGTTTACAAATATTTATTTTTAAGATTATAGTGTAAGTGATTTATTTTTTTTATATTATCTTAACATATAATAATAAGTAATACTAAAAAAATATTCGTGTCTTCAAAATAGATAGCATTTTGTTAATATTTTATATTGTATGTGAACTTGAAAGAAGAGGATATAGTTTAAAATTGAAAATTATACATCTTATTTCATGTTTAAAAATATCTATAAAATATCAACATATTTTATTAATTATTGGATATGAATGATACTTATTCGATACGTATCATTGAATATCCGACGAATATCATATATAATATGATATTCAATACGAGTACATCGATCTTGACAAAATATCCGTGATTCATAGTTTAAGAGATTGTTCGTAACATTTGGATAGATGCAAACACTATTTTTTGTGCAAGAAACCTTTTTCTATTTTGTTTCCATGCATTTATTTGCATAGAAATGCATCTTCAATTGTATTTTAATTTTTATTTGTTGGATTGGTACATACGGGGTGTGTAGATGAAAAAAAGAAAAAAAAAAAATATGGCAACGTTGTACCTTAAGGTGTCGTAGTATATCATGATGAGTTGTATTGGGCCACAAACGGATCATTGAAGTTTCATGTGGTTGTTAAATTTTAAAAAAACAATTTTTTTAATCCTAATGCAAAAAAATTGTCTATTATGAGATACACAATTATGATATGTTAGCAAAGTTGTATGTGTGTTGCATGTGAATTTTTTTTTTTTTTTTTATGTGAAATCCATTAAAAAAATATGAATTATATGTAATTAAGGTGTCAAAGAATTAATTCTTATTTTAATTCGTAGTTCTTACTAAATTTTATAATTGATCTATTCTGCTCATTTTTGAGGATATGCTAGAGTAGACAATTTCTCCTTTGCTCATAATGGAATTTGATTGTAAGATTGTCTTTCTTGAGGATTTATATTTGGTTATATTATAGATTGATTACATTTAAACTGTAATACTATTGTTTGTATTATAATACTATTATATTATTACATATAAAAAAAAATATAACACATTTAATCACAAAACATAACACAAATATTTTATATATATAGAATATTTGTGTTTATATATATAGAATATTGATTGAACTTGTAAATGAGTCCAAAAAATTCTTGAAGTCAATTATAACTTATACAAAGAGTTCAAAAGAATTAAAAGTCAAATAAGTATAGAAAACATGAATTTGATGAAAGTACGTATGAAAATATAATTGTCTTTATCATAATAATTATGGATAAAATAAAAAACTAAAAAAACAAATCATCTATGGAGTTTATTGAAATTATCATATATATATATCAAAGTATATGTTGTGGAAATACTACATAATTTTATTATTTGGATAGAAACAATTTGACCATTGTATTAACTTGGAAGTGACCAGCCTCATGAAATTGAAAGGTTGGCCAACATGATAATTTCATTCAACTGTTTTTTAATGGAGATAATATTATGAGTTCCATTTACTTGTTCAACATATTTTCAAATGCATGATGATATTTAGAGCTTATTCGAGCACTCTACAAATAATTTACACCTAAACAATCCATAAATAATATTCTCTTATACTATTTGTGGTAAAATTATAGCAGATTTTGAGAATGGTGTGGTCCAAAGGTGTTGGGATCCGATGCGTTTTAAACCCACAAACAAACACACATAATCAAAGAACAAATTAAAAACATAAAACAATGATAAGTAAAAAAGAATAAGACACATAGATTTTACGTGATTCGACAATTTGTTTACGTCTATGAAATTGCAGGGATTTCACTATTGAGAGAGCGGAATACAGAAGGCGGTTATACAGTTACACTCAAACTCTAATCATCAAAGTAACAGGTTTTTATATGTCCTACGTACCGGACTCTCATTAAAAATCACGCAACATTATTTCAGTAAGGTCATCATCTGAATTAATACACAAACTAGACTCCATAAAAAGTCCAACAAAAGGAATATTGGTTGTCTAGTACTAATCCATTTCTGCTTTTTTTGATAATGCATACCGCCCCTCTAGTAACAAGCTTCTCCATTTTTCATGAACACCTGAAAGAGAAAAAAAATCTAAAATCATTAAAGTGGTGAATATTCCCCTGTTATTTTTTTTTTTTTTTGAGCAGGATTATTCCCCTGTTATTGAGTCAGTGAAAATTGTAGAGAAATGGTGTTCAACAAAACTTATACTAAATTTTGGAACACAAATAATGTGGCACATTGATAGTCATGTAGTTATTGAAAGTTTGTGGGGTTTTATTGATCTTATAATTTACTTTGATTTAGGATATAAAATTTAGTACATTTTTTTTTGTGGATGTAGCTATTAAGAACACCGTATCACTAAGAAATCCCCTCTATAATTTCTGCAGCTCAATTACAACAGGAGGACTTGTTGCTTCAAAGTCCAATATTCTCATATTAGACAGAAAAAGAACTACTCACAAACATATAGTTATGGTAAGGTAGGGTGCTCTGCAAAATCGTGTAATTAAGTTCATACTAAACAACAAGTATTAGGGGAAAAGGGCAAGTTCTAATTTTCTCATATAATCCCTTAAACCGAAAAAATCCACGAAATTAAAATATATTGTATTTTATACCTTCTATAACCCATTTCTTATGAAAGTATTTCATTGATTTGTCTAACCCAAAGAAAAAAGAAAACCCTTTATTGGAGGCTAGGTAATCCCACCTATATCTACCAAGCCGGAAACCAAATACGAAAAGTGTTATAACCTATGAAGGAATGAGTAATATAGTTCTTACATTTTACGCTACATTTCAAAACATCAAACTCCATGAAGAAAAAGGAAAATACAAGTACCCAATTTCAACAAACCCATTAATTGTAAAAACCTAAGAATCTGAATAGCTCACCGTGAACTGTACGTCCGGAAAGTTTCGGCCCACTGGTTTTGCCATCCTTTGAAACTCTAATAGGCAACCACTCAAGAGTCAGGACCTACCAAAGCAAGGTTATCAAGATTGTAAACTCAAAATAAACTCACACACACAAAATCTGTCAAAACACAAACGAAAGCAAGAAAGAAAAGGACGAAATGACGAAGATGACAAAGCAAATGGCTACTAGTATATGCGTTCAATGGCTTCTTGAATCCAAGAAGCTAGACTTTCTGGCATTATAACACAAGACCAAGAAAACTCCTAAATAGAATATACTAATCTAAAACTATTCTTCCACCACATGAATTCAAGAAGTCTTGTAACAAAACTAAATAATAAACAATTAAATATTAGGAGATTGGTTTAATCTCCAACATAGATTAAGCTCTTCATTCCATGAAGAGTACCCTTTTTTTGAGCATTCATTATCACTTTGATGGGAATACCAATTTAATCGAACATAAACTAATTCTAGTTCCAAAAATTGAGATATCCACAAATCACACAAACGATCTCAAAATAATATGCCGTAAGGTAAACAAAACATTTATGAAACTGTTATAGAATGAAACAGAACATTCCTCAAAACAGTCCTCCTTTTTGTCTTTGTTCTGTAAAAAAGAATTGTTACATGAAATTAGCCAAGCAAACAGCATATTGCACGTCTTATCTCATGTCTCAGAATTACGAAACTCGAAGACTTATGTGATGGTTGTGCTTCTGTAACTTCTACTAATAAGAGTCAAAAAAACATAAAAACACAAATAAGCAAGAGCTCATATATTAGAGTCAAGTACGAAGGCATACAGGTTAAGCAAAATGCAGGCACATTGTAGAGAACCAATAGAGGAAAAAATTACTTGACCATTGTATTAGCATACTGAAGATAATTGTTAACAACAATGAAAACTTTCGAAACAAATTGCAGAATTGAAGCAGGTGTTTTTCATATAAGGCTATCTCTATTCCAAATTGTAATAAAAGAACAGCTACATCAAATGTTCTAAACAAAAAAAGGATACTATGATATCTTTGTTGCTACTAAAAAAATCTAAAACTTACCAGTTTCAAGACTTAAAAATACTAATCATACAAATTATACACCTCCAATTAGGGTATTATACATGCACTCTCACGCACTACAGATATAGAGAGAGGAGTTAGAACAATTCGAAACCTATTTCAATTTGGGATTGGGAGAGCAGCGAAGAAAGAGAGGGAACATCAAGGGTTTATGGGAGGAGCAATGCTACAAAACCCATATGAAAACCAAAAAGTTGAAACCCAAATGCATATCATCCCTTAGATTAGTGGGTCTCATCAATTTTTTCAATGGGATCCACTTATTCCACACTCATCCAAGAAATGATATACATTTGAGTTTTAACTTTTGGATTTCATTTGGGTTATGTAGCATTTTTCTTATGAGAGAGCAAAAGAGGAGAGAGAAACAGGTTTATTTGAACTGGGGAAGATGAAGTGAGGGATCGTGTGGCTGGTTGTGTGAATTGTGAATAGGTAGGGGAGATAGAGAAAGAGAAAGAGGGCTGATGAATAAAGAGTGACAGAGAGACAGAGGGACAGGTGAGAACAGGGAAGGAGTGGAAG